CCTTGGGTTGCCGGTCTTCGGGCCCTTTGGTTTTCTTGGCTCCACCTGACCTCTTCCCGCGGCCCGCCAGCCACGCGTCAGTGTCTTCAGGTCGTGACTTGATGTGCAGACTTCAAAGTCCTTGGACCTGGGTCCCACTAATCCGAATCCCTAGCGCCCTATCCCAACCACCCTGTGACTTAGCATGCAATTCCCACCACCGTGATAGCCAAAGCAATGCGGCCAGTGGGCCAGGAGGCCACGAAGAGTGCCCTTAGCCTATGGGCCCCGTGGATCCCCCTGTGCCTAGGTACCCAGCCCCGGTTGCTTGCCCCACTCGGGTATTGAGTCTCAGTCATTTATCCTAGGACTGTAGTGGGGCCTGTCTGCTGCTTGTTCCGTCCCTACTTGGGGTCTTCTGCCGCCCTCCGCGGTGATACTTGATGGGGTTCCCGTTGGCCACACCCCTGTTGTCTCCTCTCTGAGGCTTCGCTGCCGGCTTGCAAGTTGACCCCTTCGTCGGCTTGCCTGACACTGCTTTTGCTGATTCTGTAACTGGCCCCTCTGCCAGTGCCGCTGCCGGCTCTCCTACAGATGTTGCTGCTGGAGCCTCTGCCAGCGTTGCTGCCGGCTTCACTACCGGCTTCGCTGCAAGCCCTGCTGTAGGTGTCACTGCCGGCTCCTCTGCCAGCGTTGCTGCCAGCTTTGCTGCAGGCTGTGCTGTCGGCGTCGCTGCCGACACTGCCGTTGGCTCTACTGTTGGCTTCGCTGTCAGCTCCTCTGCTGGCGTTGCTGCCGGCTTTACTGCAGGCTCTGCTATTGGCATCGCTGCTGACTCTGCAGTTGGCTCCGCTGTCGGAGCCTCTCCAGGCTCCGCCCCTGGCTTCCCACACTGCCCGATGCAGCAGCTGAGCCCCTCGGGGTGTGGGCTTCCTCCTCGAGCCTCCGCTCATCTGCCGCCCCTCTGCACCCTCGGGGCAGCTTTTTATTTCCATCAGGTGGCGTCTCCAGCCCACGCTGCCCGGCACCAGCTGGATATAAGCGCGGCTGATAAGTCGTGGTGGTAGTTTCGCCGCGCGCGTTCCTTCCTGCTTCTCGGGCTCTGCAGAAAGTAAGTGGGGCTTTCTTTTTGCTTTGGCCTGGGGTCCTCCTGTAACCCTAGCTCCCCTGGGACACGGTACTTAGAAATACTGAAGTGAAGAACTCATTGAAGAGCTCCGCTTTTTTCCCCGCATCAACCACCAAGTGTCCTAATCTGTCCTACAGGGGTCCTATGTTGCTCTGAGCTTTCCTTTTGCCCGCTATATACCTGAAAAAGGACTTTTTATTGTCCTTGATTGTTGAAGCCAGCCTGAGCTCAAGCCCCGCCTTGACCTGTCTAACAAAACTCATGTAGGTGCACCCCACTGTGGCTTAACACACACACGACATGAGTTTTGCTTTCAGGAGTTTGAGGTGTATTTTCCCAGCAATCCCTGCATCTATCACCTTGAAACTTGGCAGGTGTCATGATCTTAGAATGGGCTACTACCCCTGCAAGCTTCATACAAATCAGCCATAAGACAACAAAGTTATAGATATTTCATTGATTCCCCATTATACTCTATGGCCGAATCAGCTCTGAATCTTCCAAAGCGATTCAGCCGAATCAAATCAGAAAAAAGATTTGGATCTCTGAATTGAATCTCTGGCATCCAAATCTGCTGAGTCTGAATCGAATAGTTCCCTACTGCTCTGTATCTCAACATAGCTTCATACCCTATGAAGGGTTGGGGGCGTTTTGTGTGATCTAAATCCAATTGGAGCATAAGCAACAGTCACAATGGCTGGATCACTGAAAAGGGGCTTCTGGAAAATGAGCAGAAGGCTCTTGTGTTTTTTTAACACCTAGGTGCTCCCAACAGGGTAAGTGGTGAACCAGAATTCACTGAGCTCCCTACTTGACAAACCAGCATTTCCCAATGATAACTAACATGGTGACACTAAAATATGTTTAAAGTGTTTCATAGGCTTTTTAAAAATTAGATTAAAGGTATGCAAAGTGTGATCCCTTGTGGTGCAGGCTTTTCTAGTACTTCTGCTGAAAGTGTATTAAGGGTCAGGTTTCAGAAGCAAGAGTGGTTGGCCAAACTCTGTCCCTGTAGAAGGCTTCCTGTGTAGGGGTTAATTGCCTCAGTTGGACAAATTAGGCCCATTTTGAGTGTTTTTTGCTTATCCTGTTCTAAATGCTTTCCCTGTTAGTCTGTCAGGTAAGCTCCTACTCTGTGTAATGGGTTCAGTGTATAGCTGCAGTGAGAGGGAAGGGGGAGTCTGCAGGAACAGAGGTGGGAGGAGAAAGGTCCACCAGGCACTCCCTGCCTCTGACAGTGTGATTCATTGTGAAAAAGCTTGAAAACACCTAGTTGGAGCCTTTGCTGGAGCTGATTTTTTTTTTTTCCTCTAAGGAAGATAATAAAGACAACACAGAACTTTATACAAGAGTGAGAAAGGAAATCCCTTCATTCTGAATTCTTTCATAGCCCTGAACTCTGGCAGATGGATGCTTTACAGAGCAAGTGGCTTCACAACTACATACGCTAGGCCTCTCCATACAGAGCTTACCTGTTTGCAAAGTTCATCTGGAGTTATTGCTCCTGGTAACCCATAGCTTTGAAACAAGCCCATAGGCACCATGTACAATAAATAGTTAGTGCCTTGAGGCATCAGGAAAGCGGTAAGACTGACTGGAAAGAGAGTTTTGCTACTTCTGTTATGCTAACCTGTCTCTGTCACAATAGAGTATTATAGCTGGCTTTTAAAGAATTTAAAAAAGAACATTATTTTTTTCTTTGGAATGTCCCAATTTGCATGCATTTCTCCCAATGTTGGAGGAAGAAAAGAAGAAGT